ATATATATTATATAATCGTTAGTTTATGTGAAAAAAAATTGATATTTAAAAATTTTAACATCCTATTAAATAAAAAAATAAATTGATGAAAAAAAGTAAAGAAAAAAAGAAAAAGAAAAGGCATGTAGTGCATCAAATAGGGATTAGGATTTTTATTTTTAAATTTTAGGGATAAAAAAAAATTAAATCATAGAAAAAACATAAGAAAAAAAATAAGAGTGAAAATTACGAAAAAAAAAGGAGTGAATAGTACATTGTGAGGGGATGATTTTTAAAGTATATGGATTTGATCTATATATATTATATAATCATCAACTTGTGTGAAAAAAATAACGATCGATTTTTAAAAATTTTAACACTCAATTAAATAAAAAAACATAAATTGATGAAAAAGAGCAAAAAAAAAAAACAAAGACATATAGTGCATCAGCTAGGGATTAAAATTTTTATTTTAAAATTCTATGGATCAAAATAAAATAATTTAAAAATAAAAAAAATAACTAAGAGTGAAATTTAAAATAATAATAATAATAATATAAAAAAGAAAAAACTGAGAGTGAAGGTTAAAAAAATAAAAAAAAACTAAAATTGAATAATATAGTACGAGTGTAAAGTAAAAAAAGTAAAGTAATTAAAAAAAAAAAAACTAATACTGTTCAAATGAACAGTACAACAGTGTGAGGAGTTCACTGTTCATTTGAACAGTGAACTCCTCACACGTTTAGTTATATACTAATTTTTTTCATCAGCTTTTTGTTAGATTATTATTTTTTTAATTATCCTTCTTTTAATGTTTTATTTTTCTTCATCATCTATTTTATTTTTTCTCACCTCAATACAGCCAAAAAAAAAAAAAAAGAACAAATTTGGGAGCAAAAATCACTAAATAATGAAAAATGGATGAAAAGACTAAGTTGTTGAAAGAATTAATATATAGAAAACTAAATTATTAGTTTTTTAAAAAATAGGGTCTAATCAATTTATTTCTCCAGACAAGGGAGACTAATTTATAATTTACTAATAGGATGAGTTGGGAATTTTTATTTTTTTATTATATTTTTTATTTTTTCCCACATCTTGTAATATAGTTGATCGTTTGTTGTCTTCCTTTGCATGTGCTTCCAACTGTGTGTTTCCCCTTGATTATCGCTGTGGAAATACCAAGTACTAGTTTGAATGTATAAATTGACAGTGCCTTTTTTTGTTCATGGGAGACATTTAGCGTTTTTGGAATTTGAGGTTGAAGGTAAATTTGAACCTTGTAATCATCACAGGTGAAAATTTTGTTGAATCATTTTCACTTGCTTCCGAAACAAAGACTTGCAATTTATTTTCGAGGGGTCAGTACTCGGAACTCACAACACAAGGGCCTATTTGAGGGGGAAAAAAAAAGATCTAGTAGCTCGATCTTTCCATGATTTCTTCCTAGTTACATGCTGGTCATGAACGATTCTGATTCTCTGAATTCCTGACATTCTCTTGGTTTCCTTGCAGATTGATGGCAATATTTCATAGTTTTCCCGAAATCATAAGTATGGCATAGATTCTTACGTAAGAAATAATAATAATAATAATAATAATCAGAAAGCATAAATTCTTGAGTAACAATTTTCATTTCTGCTACAGCAAGTGGCATGCTAATTACAAGTCACGTTCCTGATGTTGACATACTTCAAAGTGCCCAGACAAGATCAAACTCATTTCAAAGAAGGGCTTATTCGAATCGAATCTATCTTCATTGAGCCATTCTTAATCAAGACCAGAAATTCGGTACAACTTTAGACATGTCACTAATCAAAATCTATAAAGCAAATGTAATTTAGGCCCCCCAAAAACAATAGAGGATCTGTGCTTCTTGCCAGTTCAAGATAATTGGCACCGAAGCTGACTCAAACTTTCGAAGGAATCAATGCCCTTTATTATTGTTACATGTATTGTCATGACGATCTAATTACAAATGTGAGGTACCACAGAAAAAAAGATTACAACTTTAGATTTTATTAACTTGGTGGACCAAAGTTTCCCAAGTTCGAACCTAAATTTGTCTTGGTCTTCTTAGATGGAATATGATGCCATTACATTAAACTATGCTACTACTGAATTAAAAAAAGTGAACTTTCAAGAATGCGAGTTTCATTAACTTTTATAGGTATAAAAAAAAAAAAAAAAACATAATTTAGCAGTTGTGTATTTTTTTCAATAAAACAAATTTGAATCTCAGATGACAATGTTGTTAAAAAAAAAAATGGATTTTCAAAAATATATAATTTCGTTAACTTTCATAAGTAAAATTAGACATAAATTATTGATGTAGTTCTGTACCGTTAACTTTTTTAAAAATATATAATTCTAGTGATTCTAACTTATTTTATCGGTATGTATTGAAATAGAATTATTTTTCATTGTGTAGTTCAAGACCCAGAAGCCTCTTAATTATTAAAAAATAATAATAATAACTTTGGTAACCGGGTTGGATTTAAACAATGAAGCATATTAAAGTCATTAGGAGCAAAAAGAAAAATTCTCTAAAAAGCTAAAACCACGCCTGATCCCTCTAGTTTGCAAATTCTATCAAAATCAAACTTTCCATTTTATTGTTTGGTGCTAAATCAATCCTATAATTCCAATTAGAGCCAATTTGAGATCCTTCGTCCAATGCTGTTATACACGTGGAATGCATTTGGCGGTTGAGTAGTCAAACAAGTTAGACGGAGGGGCTCAAATCGCCGTTAATTGGAACTTACTAGAGAGGTTGATTTGAATAAATTAAAAACTTGAAGGATCTAATTTGACAAAAGTAAGAAGTAGAAGGATCACGTGTGATTCTTAGCTATGAAAAAAACGCAGCAGAAAAGCAAAATTGACGCTACTGAATTTTAATTCGCTGGTTGACGTGGAAATGCAATTAATATTTTTTTATTTAACATGAAAAACATTATCATTCCCAACTTTAAAATGTATATTATATTACATAAATGCAAATTTGCATAAGTAGAGCTATATTACATGATTGCACATTTGCTTTTCTTTTTCTTTTCTTTTCTCCCCAGTTCTCAGCAATAAAGCCAGAACATTTATGAACATGAGAATGCAGTATGGTCATCTTTATTTCTTTCGAGAAAACTTCTCTAACTAATGGATAATAGCAAGCTGCCACATTATACAAATAAATAAATAAATAACTTTCAAAGTACCTTTCTGCTGGCAACCACTCCTAAAACACTAGGCTAGAGCATGCCTAGCCATCTTCATTTTAACCCCTTCCTTAAAAGAGAGTGCAAAATCATAAAGTGATAGCTAAGGATTGATTTATAAGTTAAGTTTAAGATTTGATTATTGTGATTAGTATTTTTAAAATTTATTATCAAAATATTCGAAATCGTATATCGAGTAGTGTCCCTTAATCACGTTAAGCGAGAGATTAGTTTTGAATTACATGAAAAATAATCTAAAAACATCTTTATTATTGACAAAAAAAAAAAAAAAAAAAAGAAAGGAGGGCAAAGGGGCTGGACATGCTGTTGGGGAGAAAAACATTAGTGAAAGTTAAAGTTGTGTCTTAAGTTGGGTAAAATCCCTTTTAAAAAATACAATGACATAAGTAATTCAACCACCCCAATAGTCGTTCAAGGTGGAAGTAATCATGACTACCCCATTTAAAAGAAAAGAAAAGGGAAAATTAAAGCAAGGTAGGCAAAATTGAAGATCGTGATCGTTAATTAAGGATCTCATTTTTCTGATAAGAAAAGCAAAAGTGACTTTTCCTTGAGGGATTATAGGGACAGTGAAAGCAAAGTACATTTTACTAAGGAATTATTATCATATAATTTGATAATGATTGGTGCTAATATCCACTGGAAATCTCCATTTGGTTCCCGAAAAAGCATCGTTATCTATGAGAGTGGGGACAATGCTTAAAACCCTGCCGTGAAATCTTGTTTTCAAAGAAAGATTTATCATTAATCAATTACTCCAAGAAGCAAATGTCGAAAACTTTCCCATTCCATAGTCTTCCTTCCAAGAATCAAGTTTGTCATGTCTTAATGATTGAAAAAAGCTGCCTAATAACAACAGAAAGAGGCCTGGCTTGTCTAACTTGATAGTTTAACCAACTATCTTTCTGTGTTCATCATAACTAATGTCTTTCTGGAGTACCCACATTTCAATAATTGCAAGTTTTTTGCTTGATAAATTGCGAGACTTTACCTGAAAAAGCCAAAATGAAGATGCCCTTTTCCAAAGATCAAACCAATTATATGCTAATGAATGAACAAAAGGGTAGCTCTGAGTTTGAGATGACTTGAATCATCCACAGACAATGAACCTCAAGCTCTTACTAATCAAACACAAAACCATAGAAAAACCCTAAATAACAATGGAGGTCTAAGAGGGTTAATGAGTTTTTAGTATTTGGCAACAATATTGTGAAGAAAGACCAGTTCTTTCCAGCTGGTTTATGTTCATATCCATCGCCCATAAAAGCATATATGCAATTTTGGAAGACATTATTCTGTCCCTTCACTGTCTCACACAACTTCTTTATGACAGTAAAAGAAGAAAAAGAAACTCTCACAACCCTAGATTTCTATTTCACTCTATGTCACAACAAGCCAAGCATTCCTCTTCATATCTGAGAATCTTTTCTCTCCTCAGCAAAAGCAACTCATCAACAACTCATCTTCGTCAACATCACAAGCAACATTAATATATTTGATGTTTTCAGTCCTTACTAATTCATTATTTACCCCATTAATTCTCATTTCCATACCCACTAATGTATGGGAAGAAAATAAAAAAGCAATGAAAAAAAGAAAAAGAAAAGCATATAAAAGAGGAAGTAGTTTTAGAATAAGCTTTTTGGTTCTTTGGGAAATTAGCCGAATGACTGTACATTACATAGCTCCATCAAACCTACTAAATTACAAAGAGGGAAATTAGAAAGGAAAAAAAAAAAAACCAGAAAAATCTGAAATTCATAGAATTTTTTTTCTTCTTCTTCTCTAAAATTGTTTCTCAATTTCTGCAATATTTGAGAAATTATTTTGAACAAAAACAGACATGGACTCTTGGCGACGGAGCATCAAATGTCTGGCAATGAACTCATCAATGGCACGCTGAAATTCCTCATCACTCAAGTCTTCCTCTCCGCACAGGAAATTCTCCTCTCTTGAACCCAACCTCTCTGTCTCCGATCTCCGCAGCTGCTTCTTCTCCTTCACGTAATTCTTCCTCTCCATCTTCACCGACTTCGTCCTCCGAATTTTCAGAATTTCAGAGTCAGAATCCGAATCTGAGTATATGTCCGCGTCAGGATCGTGATCTTCATCCCCATTTTCACGCGTTTGTGTGATAGTGTTCTCTTCGGAGATGATGATATGTTTTTCTTGGAACACTACTTCCTCCTCTTTTGTTGTTGTCTCTGTCTCTGTCGCTGTCGCGGCTTGAGACGACAATAAATTAGGATTATCTGAGAGAAATGGCTTTGGCCAGTTGCGATTGTTCTCAGTGTTTTTTATTAACTCGTACAGTTGAGTATCAGCATTGTCCGTGCCGTGATTCTCGCCGGAGAATCTGCCAGATTTTGCTATCAAAGTAGCGATTATCCCGTTAGAAAGTAAGAAAACAAAGAGGGGGCTGGCTATTATGCTGGCTAGTCGCCGGAAAAACTCCCAGGAAATCTTGACAGCAAATGGAAGCTTGTTAAAGATCCATAAGAGGAGGATTAGAGCAAGACAGAATTCCAGTAAACGAAACAGTTTTTTTAAGGTTTGTAAGCGGTTGTACTTTAGTATTGCATTAGCTTTCTCTGCTTTTACAGTGTCAAAATTGGTGAAATCCATTTCTTGATTTTACAAAGAGAACGAAAGATTGAACTAAAGAGAAGAGGAAAGATTGAGCTAAAAACGGGGTTTTCATGTAAAGAAAAATTTCTGTTGAAGAAAACTGAGCGAAACAGGAAAAGGGACAGAGAGGATTTGTGTTTTTTGCAATTGTCTGAGACAGAACTGAACCTTCCTTGGAGTGGACAAATGTTTGGCTTTTATAATTGCAAACAAGAGCAACAGATGCACACACTGATTTAGCCTTCTTTTTCATTATTAATGGGGATTTGTTTAAATCAAAGTGTTTAAGAGTCATGATCAGAGAGTGACCTGATTTTCAGACAAGCGTGGATTACTTTATATATTTTTTTCCTTTTCTTTTGGTGTTGAGTCTGTCTTTTTGCTGATTTTGATAACCTTGAGAATTTTTTTTCTTGCTACACTGACCTTGTTAGTAGCTGTGCCTGTGGCATGCTAGAAAATTTCAATAGTGAATAGATATTTGATATGGATGCAATAATCCGAGTCATTCATGCAAACCTTGCAACCAGTCTCATAGCAGCGAAAGCACCAAACAAAAAATGATGGAGAAATTAAAAGAATTACCCTTCTTAGTGTTACTAATTAAAGTTTGATGAACCTTTCAATAAATAGAACTTATAAGCCATTAATCAGCAACCACATGAAGTATAAGAGATCCTAGATTTAAATAACGAGTGTTATATAACCGTTTCGAAACATTTCGTTATCATTATTCGATATTATAAAAAGAAAGCTCTAAACATCTCGTTATCATTATTTAATGTTATAAAAAAAAAAATCTCTAATGCTATTTTATAGGAATAACAACGAATAATGGACCCCTTTATAAAAATAAATAAATAAAAAGATGATGGAGAAATTAAAAGAGTTACCCTTCGTTGTGTTACTAATTAAAGTTTGATGAGCCTTTCAATAAATAGAAGTTAGGAGTAATTAGTAACCACATGAAGTATTAGAGTTCCTAGATTCAAATAACTGCAGTTATATAATTGTTTCAAAACATCTCATTATCATTATTCAGTATTATAAAAAAACGAATGACGGTATTTAAAAAAAATAAAATCAATCATTGCATTTTATAGTCTACTCACGAAATGTTATTAGTATGCTTAATTAGTAAAATTATTAAAATTATGTGAATTAAAATAAATTTATTAATCACTATTAATATATTCACGATATGATATCACTACAATCGTTATTTTACTATATGATAAGCCGCGACTCGTGATCACGATAACTACTATTTTTTCAACGGTATGTAGAATTTAAAACATGATAGAGATGATTGGGTACTTAAGACTTAAACTTATCACCAAGAACATTTAATTGAAAACTTTTCAATTTGCTAAATATGTACTAAAACAGCAAAATAAACTGTGCCAATGTGTGGTCTATGTCTCACAGCATCTAGGAGGAACATACATACCAAGAGTAAATAATGTGCGCCTGAATATGATAAGATGCAGTTGAGGGTTTTCACGTGAGCTGTGTGCCATTCGTATATTTTGCTTACCACATTTTTAGTGGTCCATCTCTTTTTGATCGATTCAACACTATTTCCATACACACGGGTGTGTCTTACTGTTGCCAATTCAAACCCTTCTTTGAATCGTCTCTGTTCATGACAATCAGAGATTTAATAGGGACAGTAAGTCGTCGTGCTGGTGGTTTGGAGGTTTGGTTGGGGTCATGGAACACTGTTTCTCTTCATAAATACGAGCCAACGTTGGCTTTTGTTTTGAGCAAATTGTTCTTTAGTTCCTGGATTTTTAATGAGATTATAACCTAATCTTTCATCTTTGCTAGCTTGACTCTTGTAAACCATTATCTTCTTAGTTATTAATATATAAACCTCTTGGTTTTTTCTTAATCCCAAATTAATGACCCTTTGAAATTTAGATTCCAAAGAAAAACCAACACAATGAGAGTTAAAGAGAAAAAGTAAACCAAATTGATGGTTATAGGTTTTGTGATTGAGATCAACATACCCCGGAGTTTATGCCCGAAACCGAAAGAAAATATATAAATCCAATTTTGAGTTTTTTTAAACCTAATTCGATGTAAAATGATTTAACGAGTAAAAAATCGTTATTTCATGAGAAGACGTAATTTTAGCAAAAAAAGTGTTTAGATTCTCAAAATGGATTTTTTTTTGTTTTTTGGGATTTTTCCTTAATTTTTGGGATTTGTATTTTTTTTCATTTTTGAGTTGTTTTCGGTTTTTTTTTTTTTAATTTTCTATTTATGTATGACTTTGAGGTTGAAAGACGTCGGTTTCCTCCGAATAATAAAATTTATAAGAGATCATCTCAATTTATCTAAATTTTTGATATTTTTTAAATTAAAGAAACTTGAAGTCTATTTTTTGATATTTGTGTGCAATTTAATAGATTGTAGTAGATCGGTATCTAGAGTTCGAGTTTGAATCAACAGATTAATGGTATTTATCTTTGTTTCGTAAGCTTTCACTACGTCATTTTGGAACTTGAAGGATTAAGTTATAATTGTGTTCAAAACCCAAGTACTGGAAATAACTCGGTCTTTTGTTTATGTTAAGAATAATAAAACCAAGGAGAAGCATTCAAAGAATGCAACCAGGCAGCTTGCGTGCACAAAAACTTGGCATCACGTGGCTCTGAAACCCAGCGTACGGTGATGTTTTGACAGGGTTAAAGTAGTATCTTGTAGTCCCTAGGCCCATTTACCTGGTTAAGCAATCGTAGCTTATTTTAAATTTCCTTATTCAGAAAGAGGACGTGCTTTTGCAGCAAGGGAGAGCTTGTGTTTGTCAGACAAGAGATTGTGTGTGCCCAAAATTTATTCACGGGCTGTGGCTGTCAACTACTTCATAAATATTGGCTTAAAAACTGGATTCAAATTGCATTCTAGTGACAATCTTGACTGTGGCAACTATGAATTATTAGCCCACCGTTGTGTATTGCTATTATTTTCTTTTATTACTAAAATATTATAGACTCGAAGGTTCGGATTAATCATCTATTGTTCGATCGAATGTATAAAACGGACACAATTATCCAATAAGTTTTCTACATATATAAAAATTTAAACTCAAAATCATTCTCTTAAGCGATTAGAGCTCCTCCACTATTGTGTATTGCTATTGCAACTATATATTGCAAGCTTTTTGTGCTAATATATATGTTTCAAAATACACAAATTATACTGAAATTAAATAATTGGACCTATTACTACTAGCATTTCCAATGAACCAAAATGAAGATTGACATAGATTAGATTAGGAGCAGCTAAGTTTTCTCTCAAAACGTTTGAATCTCCACTCCATGTCTCTCGTAAAATTCAAATACAAAACATGGTGGAAATCCCAGGTGTTAATAATGTCACCGAATAAAGCAGGATTTAGCCATGTAAATGGCCAAATTCCACGAGCATGAACAGCTAGGCAGATGTTGACTAGGGTTCCTTTTTAATAAATCAGTCTTTCTGTTGTATGTAATCCATGTGTGAGCTGAAATATGATAGTTGAGACATTTACTAGTAGTTCAACTCTAAAAACTAGCTCAAAAAGCAATAGTATTCTTCTTACTTATAACCAAATATTTATTTCTTTTCATGATCAATGTGGAATAATTAAACAATTTTTTCTTCGTATGTCAGACTCTAAATTAAATATTTTTCATCAATTTGTATGACACCGGCATATAAAAAATTATTTAACTTGAATTTCACTATCAATATTAGATATTGTTGGGTTTTCTTAACTCCAAAAACTAGCTAAATTGGATTTTTTTTTTTTTCGCAATTATGATCAAACACAATTCATGTTATAACCCATGTAAGACAACCTAACAATTATATTTTGGTAATCCCTGGAAACATAATGTTGGCAAGGAAATAAGCCTATAAATGGCGACATCCTAACTCCTATCGTTTTATTTGTTTGTAACAGCAAAAAAGAAATTTCTGAGCAGACCACACCAATTGCAATTTGCATGTGTTGCTTCTGCTCCTTTAGATGCCCATGCTACAAACAAAGCAGGATTTAGTCATGTTAATGACCAAATTCCTCTGGCACCGAGAGACGGTCAGATGTTGGCTAGGCTGGCTTCCAGCCTTTCTATTCCCAATGAGTGAAAGTTTTTTAAACAGGAAGCGGTTTCTATGTATGTTTCACTAGGACCCAGCATCAGTTTTTCCATTTTGGCTTCTCGATTTTGGTTTCGATAAATTTAGTTTAGTTTTTGTGAACTCACAAAAATCAAAATATTATTGGGTTTTTGGTTTTTTTATTCTTTTTTTATATCGAAAAACAGAATTAGTTTTTTAATATAAAAATAATATGATTCTTGGTTTCTTAAATACCGATTTTGTGGTCAAAACCGAATTATTTTTTTAAAGTAAAAAATGATATGTTTCTTGGTTCTGGAATACCAATTTTGTTGTGAGTTAGATTTTCAATATTCATTGGATAAGTTAAAAGTCTCATTTTTAGTCTTTTCCATCCATTTATTTTAAAAAAAAAATTAAAAAAAAATAACATTCAAAGTTTCAATCAATTACAAAATAGAATCAAATATCGAATTCAAATAATATAACTCATAATTCATAATAAGCATAAAATTTATTTAGCAATCAACCAAAACAATAGAATGAAAAAATAAATAAAAGGTTGAACTAATATGCTAGTAGTTTTATGATTTTTTAAATGTTAGATTATATTTAGATATTTAGACACACACTAATATTATTATATGTGTTATATTATATATAATAAATGCATTTATAAGGAAAAAAAAAGATAATGGCATTTGGAGTACCCATACTATTATTATTTTAGTACATGTATTTATAGATTTTTGATCAATTAATTACCTTCGTGAACTCTTCATCTAATGCCTAGCTTGATATTATTTTAATATTTTCTTTTCTTAGGGACAATGGCATATGAAGTACATGTACTTTATGATTGATTTCATTTAAGTGGCTATACAGAT